ATTATATATATATATATATATATATATATATATATATATATTTATATTATGAAATTACAGAAATCTTGTAACCATTGTAATAACATGTTGAATCATCCAATGTTAAACTTGATGCACAAACAGAATAAAGAATTAAAAAACAAAACAAAAAAAAACAGTAAAACATATCACAGTGATAGTCAGTGAAAGTGACTTTTTTTGCATTTTTCCCACACAAACGACATTTTCACAGATGATGTCATTGTTGTGATACATTTTACTGTACAATATTTGTATTCAGTGAAGTCTCCAGAGTATAACAGTACCCCCCATGTACAGGTTTTATAGTGTTTTCGAAAACTACAGGGTCAAAGAAAAGGCTTGATTTTCCGTTTTTTTCACATTGAAATTCGCCAGATTGGTTATGTTGTCTTTGAGAGCGTATGGTAGTCCAGGAATGAGAATTATGATGGCATACCATTTGCAAAAGAAGACAACCTAAGGTATTACAAATGGAGTATCTTCAGTCTTTTTTAGTAGCCACTTATTCACAAACACTGGCCAAAGTAATAATTGTTTTTTGCGTTTTTAACACACAAATATATATGAAAACTTTGGCCCGTGTTTGTGACTAAGTGGCTGCTAAAAAAGACTGGACATACCTCATATTGAATACCTTTAGTGTTCTACTATAAGAAAATATGTGCATGTGAGGCGTGATTCAGAGATTTGACAGATAACCGTGTTACAATGTCACTACTGATACATTTTTAAAACCTGTATTTTGTAAAGCAATGTTCTACTTGTACTTATAGCTCTATAACCTGCAAAAAAGCTAAGAACATGTTAACATTTCTGAAATGGAAATCAATCAATAATATTGATTATTATGTGTATCTGCCTCTGGCCAAATTGAAGAAGAAGTGCGTGCACACTCCCAAAGTAATTTCACACCGGACACAAGTTTCTGGTTGATGAAAAACTTAGGAATGTTTATTCAGAGGAGATGGCAAGTCCCTTTTAAAGCAGAATTACATCATATGCATTGTCAGAGATAACATGAAATAATACATCATTAATTGGTTAGGTGTTAAATGTTTTATTCAGAGCACGTCCTACTGGGTGTGCCATCCTACGTCATTACTGTCGTCATGAAGTTCTCCCCCGGATTCCAGCACCATCTTGAAATTGAGAGTGTTTAGTCGATTGGTGGGATAGTCATGAGGGACATCTAGTGGTCATTTTAGCAATTTATTGAATTATACTGATTGTCACTAAATGGAGTAAATAGGCATTTTACTTTAGCAAATATTCTGTCAACGACAGTCCCCCCTTAAAATGACTATTTACGACTTTAAACAACTATAGTAAGCATTCACAAATATAAAACAAATCATAAAACAGACAAGGAGAGCAAGAAAAATGAACATTAAGAATACAGCCACGCCCATCTGGATCGGAA